TCTTGTTTATGTCATATTCTAGAATGTTATAAAATATGAAACTCGAGGGGTCGTTTTCGTCTATGTTGCTGTTTCTGATATATCTGATTTGAATCAAAATTATCACTTGGTTGAGCATCTGATTTGACTTCATAACCTCTCCCACACCAGCAGACCAATGCTCATTGTTTATAGTAGTCTTCATCCGTGTCCCACGGACGCTTATTCGATTGTCTGATATTTTTGTAATTGGAGGCTCTTCTAGATGTGACATTTTGTACTTCGACCAATTTTCCCATTCAATGTTTTTAATATATCAAATTTCCCCCTTTGAAAGCAAATTTTTGTGTGGGCAGTGTTATTTTTTTATGGTACACCATTTGGACAAACCAACTTAGCATAAAACGTCTTACCATGCACTTGTTTGTCTTTTGGCATTCCTCTTATCTTGTAAGATTGTTATAGATGCTTCTGGCGTGTTATCGGATATGATTTTGTTCAAGACATAAGTTGAGAATGAAAAATCTACACAAAATGGGATAGATAAACTAACGGAATGCTGATCAACGACTAACAAAACTGGACGTTGATACACCTCTTGGACAGCAATTAATGGGCTTGAATGATAAAGAGTAGGCTGAAAAGCTCTGAAAATTTGTGAGTTGAGAGTTCAAGAGTTGACTGAGCAGATTAACTTGCCAAGTATCTAGATATAAACTTGGTTGATGATGATAAATTTTGTCAATTTTTTTTCTCTAAGCCCTTATACTAAATTCACAGAATATGCCCAATTGTTAAAGAATTCGCTAACGTTCAGGATTTGCTATTTTGTTGAACTAAGAACAAGCATGTTGAATGGCAATTCTAATACTTCCTTGATTCTTTTGTACTCTTAACTAGATGATCGAGCTAATGTTTGTCACGCCCCTGTATACATGGGAGATTGTCAAGTTTTCAGGGGAGATTGTTCGCTTAGTGAGGCAAGAATATTAAGATTGCTTGTAAGGGAAACTGACCATCTCCTTGAATTACTTTTTTGATTAATAAATACAGTTCCCAGTTCCCATAGTTTTTCTTTGTGTAAGAGCAATTGATAATTGGATTTTTGCTTAAAAAATTGGAGCAACCTTATAAGTTCCAGTCTACTGGCTCGTAGGTTGCTTGTGTCATTTTCAGGAAACCGTTCTTAATGTTCTCTATATATTACTGTTGGAAATTTTCTGTTAAAACCTCTCTTCCATGCACCATGCAAGCGTTTTGCATAAACTCTTCAATATGTATGCATTTTTCAGTAGAACTAAGTCTTTCCCATCATGGAATACACTATTATAGTAGCCGATATTTACCCCATTTAATATAAATGTCTTTCCTGTAAGAAACAAAAAATTGTTATCTAGATTATGCAGCTTTGATGTTATTGCTTTCTTCTCCCAAATATTTTGTTCTCATCCTTCTCTTCTCTTGACTTTTTCTTTATCCTCTTATTCGAATGTAGCTTGCGAATTTCTCTCATTACTATGGATAAGATGACTGATATTTATACGTTGTGGCAATCACCATGGTGGTAAAATGGTCAACCTCAGATGTTTTAAGAGGGTTAGGGGCTCAAATAGTGGTGTGCTTGAGATAATCAAATATCGTAGAGTTTGATAGTTATTCTATTAGTTTAATTGAGATCCATGACCCATGATTGTCATAATTCGTTTTGTAAATTTCGCTGTTGGGATCTAGATGGTTTCCCCATATTCGTATGCGTTTCCTTCCATGCCACCTCTGTGTGTGGGATGACTTCTGCGGGCATGTATTCGATGATATTCTGGTGTTCCTGGGGGGCGGGGAGGGGTAACCAATGATGGTTTCTGCTGTAATTCTGAGTATTAACATGGAGTGTATGTCAAAGATGACCAGTTATAAATAGTTGAAAAATTGGTAGTAGTAGTAGAAGCTGCAGAAACAAACAGTCAGAAAAGAAAGCTGCAAGTTCTCTGCGTCCATTTACGTTATGCGTACATTCTTCTTCTTCTTTCTTTTTCCTAAAGAGAAATTCTACCATGGCTCTCCTCTATATAGATCGGATTTGGTTTTCAGCAGCTAACTTCCGCGCGATGTGGTCTGCTAAGGTTTTTCCCCATGACTTCTGCTCTCTAGGCTAAAACTTTTCTCTATGCAGGTGCTTCTTTGCTACATGGATGCTTCCAGGATGGGCCAAATTGAAGTTTAGCAAATACTGAGTCACTTAAGACTTCGAAGACAAGTGGCGGAGGGTATTTAAGGAGTGTTTTCCAGACGCTGTATGACATCCCAGCTGGTCGCATGAGGGGTATGTGGCTGCTACCAAAATTCAACGGTCGTTGGTCTTGCATTTTGTAGACAGCTACATTTGTTGGCAATGAAAGCGTAAGACACTTGCGAATCTGTATCCTACGGTGTGCATTTTCGTATTGACCTTGTGCATGTCATTAGTTTGTCTTTCTTTGTCCTGCAACTCCCAATGTTCAGCCGGACACATAGGAAACAACATTTACCTTCTAACACGTGGATTGTAATGAAAGTGGACACAATTAAAATAAAGAGAACTGTTTGATGTTTATCTTATCAGACCCACGTTTCTGTTTGTGAAACCTCTGCGAAATTGCTTCTGTTTTCCTTGCCTTTTCACAATTTCCGTCCTAATTATTTGATTACCTTCTTCTGTATAATGATTTGACTGCTGGTGGCTTCCCACGTGTGTGGCTTAAGCTGGGAGCAAATACTTTTCTTATGGACCAGGACTTGAATGGGTATCAACTGCTTCTTATGAACCAAGTTTCATGGTAATTTTGAACACAGCTCAGACAAGTTAATTGATGGCCTGAAAATGTTGAGTTCGGTTTTAAGATTCACCCAATAATTATTACCATTCTTTGCTTTTGATTTGAAGAGTTACTTTCAAAATTTCCAACTTTGTATGCAAAGTTCAATGACGATGAAAAAGGCCTTCTTTTTTTCCTTTCCTTTTTCTGTTTATTGCTCGTAGTCTGAGTTGCATTGTGATATTATTGTTTTGGAGCTATGGGTGAATGACCGTTCCACCAAGGACTGGTCTTTGCATCATTTTCACCCTTCTTTCTTAAACTCCTGCAGTTCTTTTCACTTGATGGTTTGGTAAATATATTTACTTCAACATTTGCAGATGAAAGGGATTGGCATGTCAGTTTTCAGTGATTATTGCAGCAGACGCCTTTTCATTTGTTGTACCAATTCCGTTCCTTTTTTTTTAAAAAAATAAATATTATTTAAAGTTCTTGGTTGATAGGTGGGATTGATTAGCACATTTTTCTGCTGTTTGATTATTGACAAAAGTCGCATCCAATTTTCTTTCTTTGACACATTCATTTTGATTCAATTTCAATCTTCTTTCTACTCATTTTGAGAAGAAAATTTGCAAGTGACAAAGATGCCCACTTATAATGGTGGGTTAGGAGAAAGGCAATCTTGGTTCCCTCACGGTTTAACTTCATAATTATATCTACCGCCGTTGGTTAAAAGAAGAATAAGAAAAGTTACCCATCTCAAATGCTTGGTTAATTTCACTCTCCTCGACCCTTTATGCCTAAGCACAGTAAATTAGGTGGATGACCCCAAATACCTGATTTCTGGGTTTGGTAGATCCATGATTTGTAACACTGAATTTGCAAAAGAGAAGGAAAATGGATTTGAAATGGTAATTATATGAAATTATTGATGGATCTCACGGTTCCATCTTGGCAACCAACCACTGTTTTGCCTCCGTTTCACGAGTGGTTTCTTTATTCAAAGGGCCAATCTGTCTCTGTCTCTATCTCTAGATGTATAAATTTATGTGGGTGCATGATTGAGCCCTCATATATTAAAGTGATATATTTTATTTTATAGCTAAGCAAAAGCATCTAAGCTAAGCCGTCTGGGTTGTTGATTAGCCAAAGCCTTAGGTTTGGCCATCTATTTCTCCAATTAGTCAAAAGCATTGAAATGTTGTAAATTCTCTATGGTGGAACGTTATTATAACAAGTACGTGTGATTATGATTCTAAAAAAAGCATAAAATTTTCCCTTTAGGAGATGGGAAGGCTTTGGTGTTTACAAGCAAACAAACCCATATGGTATAGAGAAATTGGTATCATATTGTGAGGCCTGGTTTGATGGCATAAAGAAACAGAGGGTATATGGCAAAGCAAATCCACATTTGAAAGACAGTAACAAATAAAAGAGAGAAGAACAAAAAAGTGGGAATGGCACCAAAACCAAAAAGAAGGCATAGGGCCACAATTGAGGCATGAACGGTGGGGGGTGGGCATTCATTTCAAAAGGGGAAGTCGGGTTAAGAATCTGGCCTAATACTCAATTAGCTTCAGCCTTTCACATTCTTTTAAGCAACACTGCCATATAAAATCCAAAACGTATATAATACGAGGGATGTGATATGATTCTGTATTTGCAAATTTTATACGTTACATTAAGCAAATAAAAGCAAAAAATAACAAATTGAATGATTATTGTGATTATTAACATTTGTTTGACCACGTGCTGGGTAAAGGAAAAACTTCCCCCCGTTAATAGATGGTCAAAAATTACACACAAACAGCCGTGGCAGCAAAGAAAGGAAACGAAATCTCAAGTTTAGGAATGGGAGGGACCCAGGAAAGGAAAAGGATCCTTGCCACGTTTATGCTTTTTATTTTGTGCATCTTATTTGGTCATATTTTACAGCCCTAATCCACTGTAGAGAGAGAGAGAGAGAGAGAGAGAGAGAGAGAGGGTGGAATTGAAGGCGAAAGAGGAGGAGGAAGAAGAGGGGAGTGGGCAAGTGGGGGTGGGGCTGAGGCTGAGGCTGTCCATGGCGGACATTGGGAGGCGGGTCTTTTCTTTATATTCACTAATTTTCTTGCGTGTTTAGTTTTCTTCTCTTTTGAGGGTTTTTCTTTTCTAACAACACCAACACAAGATGGAGACTTTGAACCTGGGCCCTGAGCCATTTGGTAAGCGTCGCAACGGGACACACTTTTATTCTCTCTCTCTTTTTTTCTTTTTCATTGTTGGTTAAAGAAATTTTATTAAATTCTGTGTCTATAGATGGGAACGCCCTTGCCTGTCCTGTCCTCCTGCGTGTGAACTGTTACTCCCCCTCTCCCTCTCCTTTTTATTCTTCTGGGTTAATTCTTCAAGTTTTAATCTTGGACATGGTCTTTTGTCTACCTCACATCCCCCACCTTTCCCTCACCCATTACTCGGTGGGTTTTGTTATCTCCCACTTTCATTCCGTGGGAGGTTCTCAAACTTAAAGCTTTCTTCTCCCTCACTTCCGTTTAGGGATTACTTCCTTGGGTTTTCATCCGAGATCCTTCTTCATAGATCCGGCCATCTTTTTCCCTTTACAAATTTAAAATTTCAAATTTCCATCTCTCTGGTAAGTCCTTTTGACCTCCTTGTTCTTGGTTGATCGGTTCTTGGTGACGATGGATGATTCAATAATCGAATGTTTGATCTTTGTGGTTATTATCGTCTATTATGGAGGAGGTTTTTTAATGCCTTAACAGAATTAGCGGATAATATGAATACTGTTCAACATCATATATTCTTTCGTTTTTTTTTTTTTTTAAAAACTATAATCTTCTTCGTTTGAGGGTTTTGTTAAAAGGGTATATTGAAGGGTGAAAGGGTTTGGCTTTTGGCTTCTTCAATCTGAATTTTGAACTAATCTTATCGGCGACTTCGGCGATGATGGTTCTAATCACGCCAAAATGTATGGATATAAGTTTAGCGGCCATGATTTCTCCGCCTATATCAGTGCTTTTTTGTAGGTTGTTTGTATTAGAAAATTTCAGTTGTTTTGATCGCAGTTGGGGTTAAGCTGTTTGCCTAATCTGGGAGTCTGATTTTAATCGATTCTGGGATTTAGTTCTGTAGCTTCGATGCCTTAACGTTTTTCCTCTTGTGGATGGATGGGATGTGTTTTTGACGCTTCGCTGAGTTCTAACCCACAATTTTTGGTTCATTTGCTTATTTGACATTTGGGACAGTTTCTGGACTAGATGAAATTATGTACTATTTCATAATATTAATGTGAGGCGTCGCCATTGTTGTGAGCCCTCTTCTAGGGATAGAAACATGCAAATGAGTAATTGAATCTGCAAGTGCTTGCACGTTAGAAATGTTTTATTGAATTGAACATTTTGCACTTGGATATTACGTTTCTGTGTTGCTGAGTTATCATCAGTTGTCTCTGGGTGCTTGCTTACATTCTGGATTTGAAGGGTTCCTCCATATCCTATTATTTTTCTTTCCTTCGCTGATATAATGTTGCATGCATTTCTATGCATGATATGGGACTGCAATTTCTCACAGGTGTTGGACATTTCACCTGCAAGATGCCATTTAACATTTTTTAGACAATATTGTAAACTTCCCGTGTTACATTGTACCAAGTGCCAAAATCAGTGTTTCTTTGACATCGACATGAAGTTCTTATTGTTGATATCTTCATATAGTTTTGAAGTTTCTCTGTGCTGATTAAGTTTTATTTCTAGCTGATAGGCCAACAAATGTATGGATGGAATTAGAGGTTTCAAAATATTTTAGATTTTGAACTGATCATATCACACGTATCTGTTTGTAATCAAAATAAATTGAAGTTCCATTTATAGGAAGCAAGTGTTGCTTAGTAGTATTAGGTTTTTGGCTTGGATTGCTATAGATAACCATTAAACTGAATTAGAGAAAATTAGTATTTCTTGGTGTCTGCTTGTGCTGATAATGTCAATCTATTGAGGGCATGAAGCTCTAACTTTGTGATTTATCTTGTCGTTTTGGATTTTTTTTTTTTTTTTTGTTCTTTATCCATTCTTGGTCCGCATTCCTATACTCATTTAGAAATTGTTTATATTATGAATGCTAGCAAATTGTACTTGGTACTGTGTTTAAGTTTCAAGTGTGTTGGTGCCTGCAAAAGTGTTGTGTTTGATCAATGAGTTTGTTTGTTTACATGCTAATTCGTAATGTTGTATAAAGCCCTATAACTTCTTATTCTAATTGGCTTTCTGTTTCATCGGTTTTCAGATTCAGTCAAGTGTACGTGACTTGGTTTATGGTCTACAAAACTTTGTTGACTTGGCTCTTATTTGATAGGGGATTTTACATTTTCTCTAATGCAAGGGCAAAGGAGTAGTGTCGGTTCATTGTCAGAAACAATAAATTTTGAACATGGATCTTCATCAAATAATCCTGGTAACCAACCAGTTTACTGGAATAACATGTGGAATCCAGCAGAAAACCGTATACCAGATTATTTATTGCCTACTTCTGATGTAAATTCTGGATATGTAAGCTCTGTAAGCCATGAACAACGAAGTTTGAGCAGATGGAGCTTGGGTGAACCTAGCTCTTGTGATATGCAAACTGATGTGCTGCCTGATGGGCAGAAAGCTGAGCTTGGATGGTCTTCAGTGACTCGTGATGCAGATGGTCCCTTCACCGAAAACCAACTCTGTGAGCCATCAAATAATCCTTCACTGGGTCATGTGAATTTGAGCCCACTGATTATACAAAATTCTAATTCTAATAGTATTCCTCATACTCTGAATTTAAATGCAAGTTTTGCTAGTCATGGAGGTGACAGTAGCAGAGTTAACGAAGGTACTGACGTGTATAAATCTAGTGGATCAGAAGAAGGGGGGATTTTATGTTCCAGTGCATCTGATCCTCTTTTACTTCCTTCTGGAAGTAGTGGACTTCCAATGCTTGCAAATGATGGTAGAGCAGGCTCTTCCTTGGAAGGTCGTCGTGCACCCTGCAAAAGAAAATCTATTGAAGGAAATGTTGCACAGTCCTCTTTAAGCGGAAGCAGTAGCTACTCTCAGCATATTGAAAGGGGTGCTGAGCCCCCTCTTCCAGCATTACCTGGTCGCTACAACACAGGAAGTAGGTTAAGCATACCTGCTCCACTAGCACGAATGAATCAAGCCCCTATACGAGGTACAGGTGAATTGATGTCCAACAGCTTCTCTGAGTCGATTGTTGTGGAAAACTCAGACAGTTCTCAAAGAAACTATCGTATACGGATTAGTTCATCAAATGCACAAGATTCTTTTGCATCGGTAGGAACTGTTGTTAGGCATCCTGGGGCCCCATCTTCCCAGCCGCCAGCAAGACTTCTACCTGCTGAGCATGTATTAGACTTGAGGCCAGCAGCAGCTGTAGACAATTTATCTACTCAAGGTCAGCCTATTATGATACACGTGCCTGCTTTATCTCGAAGTCTGCAGCCATATAGGTGGATTAGAAGTTCTACTTCAAGAAGTGGTAATTCATCAAGCTCTGCAGGAGAGAGGCAGGTGGTGCAACGTGAGGAGGTGAGACCAAACAACATGGGAAGAAACGTATCTGAACATCCTATGTTTGTCCCAGGAAATGAGCTGAGGAATATGGTTCAAAATCAATCAAGTAGAGGTTTAACATCTTCGAGCTTGCCCATTCCTGGAAATGTTGCTTCTACATCCAGGGTTGGTTCAATTTCAGGGGTCCATCCCTCTTCTGGACCTTGGATTCCTCCTGAAAGTTCTCCGACACAGTTTCCCAGGAGGTTAACAGAATATGTTCGTAGGCAGCTATTTTCTTCTGCAACAAATGAGTCTGGGGGAAGGATAAATAATTATTCACAGCGATCAGGTTCTACTTTGGCTCAGGATATGGTTCTTTCATCTGGATCTGATCGCCGGGGGAACCATTTATTGCAACCGAGGTCTGCATTATGGATGGAAAGAAGAGGTGACAGTGGACTTGGTCTTCCCTATTCATTACGAACCTTGGCTACTTCTAATGAAGGAAGTGACAACAATAGACTTGTATCTGAGGTATGTTAAATATTTTTCATGGAGTAATTGTAGGGCGGCTCTAGATGCATATATGTGCTCTGTCTGGATGCCTGTCTGCATCTTCAAAGCTGTTCATTTTGATTGATGGGCCATTTGAACATCATTGGTCCATGAATTCTTTTTAATGCAAATCCCTTTATTCAACCAATTAAAAATAATTTCTACTATTGTGAGTATCTATGAAGGTTCTCTTTTAATGCAAGCCTTTATAAAATGAAAATTTCCATTTCTAAGTTGCTGGATTGAATTTTTCTGGGGGCAGGTGTGCGTTTCAGTAGGTAAGTGCCCTGGTGGGGGTTGCGCCTGCTAGGATGGTGTTTGCTCGACTATAAACTGCAGTTAAATTCTTTGAGAAATCCTATTTGGCATGAGCCAGTTGTTTTCAGGGGAAAAGAAATCTTGCTCCAATCCTAAATAAACTTACATCACAAGTATGGATTGTGCTATAAAAAAGAGTTGATGGATTGTAATGCTGTCTTTGACTGTTTAGTTTGCCGTTGGTAGTCTATCATCCATCGATTCTCAGTGATCTTACCTTTTGAAATGAATATGAAGCTCACATGTTATTAATTTTGTCTGCAGCAGATTCGCAATGTCTTGGGCCTTGTTCGCAGGGGTGAAAGCTTACGAGTTGAGGTAGGATCCTTATTGGTTATGTATCATGGTCAATTGGTGCATTGGCTAATTTACATGGTTGTAATGAGATACAAGCAGTCTTTATGTTGCATGTTTTGTTTTTGTTTAGATTAGTTACAATGTGAAAATGGTGGTGAACAGCAACTTGTCTTGTTCATACTCCAGTATTCTTTTCTAGTCCACAGATAGAAATAAAGTTTTCAGGTGCGCTTTTACTTGGGTAATATCAAAATGGTTCACTTAGTTGATATGAATAGCCTTGATGATAGTTTAGGGCAGGGCCTTGTGTTTATGTAATTATGCCTCCTTGGCTTGAAACTTCATTTGGGGCTCTGAGATATTTGTACATGGTCTAATGTTGCTTTTATAATTTGTTTTATTAGGATGTGATGATCCTGGACCAGTCACTATTTTTTGGGATGGCTGATATGTATGATAGGCACAGGGATATGCGTCTGGACGTTGATAACATGTCATATGAGGTGGGGCTGATACAAACTAACCAACTGAAGCCATTATTTTGCACCTTTTTCTTGTTGGTTTGTTCATGTTCAAAGTATGTTAAGTGCAGGAATTGTTGGCATTGGAAGAGCGTATCGGAAATGTCAACACAGGACTAAGTGAGGAGACGATAGTTGGTCGACTGAAACAAAAGAAGCATGTGAATGCTGTTGAATCACAGGTGGAGGAAGAACCATGCTGTGTTTGTCAGGTTGCAACAGATTCATTCATACGTGTTTTTTGAGCTTTATTATCACTCTTGAACCCGTCTGAGATTTGATTGGTCACCTGATTTCCAGGAGGAATACGTCGAAGGAGACGACATGGGAACACTGGAATGCGGGCACAATTTCCACACGGATTGCATTAAGCAGTGGTTGATGCAGAAGAATCTGTGTCCCATCTGCAAAACAACTGGCATAGCAAGCCGAGAATGATGCAGCAGCTGCTGCTGCTGCTTGCTGATGCTGAAAAGGAGTGGAAAGAAGCAAGCAAGTGCAAATCAAACGAGGGGGGACGAAATGCCATGGTGTTGCTTGCCAAATCTCTGCCTTCACCTCTGGTCGCAAAAAATGAAGAGGAGCCAGCCAGCCACATTCAAGTCGCTCTATATACATTTCTACAAGTAGTAAAATTAAGCAATCATTTTTTTCTTTGGTTTTATTCTGGAAGAACAAAAATTCAAGGGTTGTAATTGGCAAGGAATTGTTTGTTAGCTTCTCAAGGTGTTATGGATGGTGGTTGGTCAAACTAATTAATGTTTACTCCCATTGACATTACAGATTGTTGGCCCTTAATATATCTCATCATCGGATTTCCCCATATTTTTACCTCACAAAACATATGCAACTCACTAATATTCAATCCATTTATTTATTCGTAGAATTTTTTTGGATAAAATAAATTGCCAATTGCCAAACGGTGACGTTTCGAGTCATCATTATTACGTCTTTGACTTTCTCACTCTTCTGCCATCTCTCATTTACTACTCTTTTCTTCTTCCTCTCCCGCATTCAATTTATTTTATTTTATTATTATTTCCCTCTTCTAAACAAATTATTTTCCCCTCATTATTTAAATTTTTAAAATTTAAAGAAAATTATACATGAAGGGCAAAATGGTCATGTGCCAACGAGAAATTGAGTCGCATTAGTTACATTATGATAAAAGAAAAGGGCAGAAAAGGAAATTAGGTAAAAGACAAATGCTCTATTTTTGGAAAACTTTGTAAATAAAAGAAATAATGGGCCAAATTTTGAGAAAGAAGGCATTGATGGGGTGTGAAGCACAAAAACAGAAAAAAGGAAAAGGGAAAGACGGAAAGATTAAGGCGGGAGAGTTAGGATTAAGAAGGAAGGCGATAAGTTGAACCTCGGGAGGCAGACCAGAAGTCAGCAACTTCAGAAACACCATTAATGAAATCCTTAATCCTTGTTTTTGCTTTCTACCCAACAAAACGAACCATCCAACGCTTAAAGATAAGACGGAATCCAAGAAAAAGTACACTCGAACGCAAACCAATACGATGCAAATACAATTCCACAGCTAACAGATATCCATTTTCTTGCACTCCAAACCGTTTCTGCGCACAATTCCCACCTCAATTTCAAACTAAACCAACAAACCCAACGTAATCCTTCATCCTTACTTCCACCACCCCCTTTTCACCCTCAATCATGGCGGATCTGTACGGAACTTCCCCTTCTTCGGATGTTGTTGCCTTGCCTCATGACCCAGAAGATTTCTCTTCCTTCATCAATCCCCACCTTCAAACCAACACTTCTTCTGCTTCTTCCCCTTCTTTCGTTTCCTTCAAGAACAAGTTCGCGCCCTTGTTGCATTCTCAACCTCCTTGGCACTCTTCCTCGTTGTTTTCGCGGCGCACGGAATCCCCCTCCGTCGCCGGAGTGTCCTGCATGCTCGATTCTCCGGAGGATTGGCTTCAGTCGAGTCGTGCTTTGAACCACGCTTTGTCGGATTGTAGTGTTAGGGATGTGAGATTTGCCGATGCTCCATTTTTAGCTATGAACTCCACTTGCGGCGGCGTGAAATTGTCGGATCCTGGGGATTTCGTCAAAGAAAGTTCGGACAACGCGTTTTCTTCCTCCGGCGCTGTGGATTCCGATACGAATGCGCCACTGAAGAGAAGGGATCTTTCATCTGAAAATGATCCTGGGGATTTCAGTTGTGATAGCGAGGTAACTCGTTACAAATTCCTCCTGTTTCTCAGTTTTCACTATCTTTCCATTACCCAAATGAAGCTTTTGCTTCACCTCTAAGTTAATTCCATCCTCTTTTGAAGGGTGCGGATGTGCCAGAAGTTCCGTTCGGTACTGATCTGCCTCGAAGTTCGTCGAAGAGAAGTAGAAGCGCTGAGGTCCATAACATGTCGGAGAAGGTCAGTTTCATATTGGGTCCCCGGTTCTAAGCATTCTTGTCTTTATGTTTGTACTAAGAGCGTTTGTTTGCTTAACTTCGGCTAATATTGTTGGTGAGTGGGCCAGAGACGAAGGAGGAGGATCAATGAGAAAATGAAAGCCCTTCAGAACTTAATTCCCAATTCGAACAAGGTATGTTTGTCAAATTTAAGATTATGACAGTTTCACTTCTCTATGCTTTAATGTTACAAGAAGATTGTGCTTTTGACAGACGGACAAAGCTTCAATGTTGGATGAAGCAATTGAGTATTTGAAGCAGCTTCAACTTCAAGTCCAGGTGGGTGTCCTTTTATTTTCTTTCCTGATCTTGTCTTGGGGTTATGGGCCTCAGAATTTGATCACGGTTCCACTTTTCTTTGATATGGACTCATCTCTCTTTATATGCATTCGTTCATTGTATTGGTTGCTAAATAGTCCACGAATTCGAGCCACAGAATCTTATGTGCATGTATCAAAAAGTAATATTCCTTTTGTCCACAATTTATGTGTCAAATATGGCAGAGCCTTTTGATTTGGGGTTGCCAACCAATCAGAGAACTTCAAATTTCTAAAGAATTGCATCCTAGTTTCTACTTCCCCGGAGAAGATGGTTCATGAAGTAAAGGGTTTTCCTAGTAGAACTTGCGTACATTTGATAATGATACAATTCACTTCAGAAATAAGGATCTGGAATGCTACCTCTCTTGATCATTGCTTTGTGAACTTTTCCCTGTTTTCGTTGCAAACAGCTTGTTCCATTTTTCCTTTCGGTCCAGAAAAATGGGCATAATTTGATGAACACATTTAAACTTCTTGTTATCATTGACGTTGGGCTTTGCAGATGTTATCAATGAGAAATGGGTTGAGTTTGCTACCAGTGTGCTTGCCGGGAAAGCTGCAGCCAATTCAACTACCTCAGATGGGGTTGGACTTGGACGTAGGAAATGCATTTCTAATGTCCAGAAGAGGAATAGACACGTCGTTTACTGGGAACGAAGGGCGTCCCATGCAATCTACGTTCAATCTTTCCAACAAATGTAACCTTTCAGATCAGTCAATTGCCATCCCTTCCGCACCAAACACGACAACTTCAGAAATGGCATTCGGTTTTGAACCCACGATACAGGCTTACGGAGGGGAGTTTGACCTTTCCTCCGATTTCAAGGTAACAAAAACAAGAACAACAAACTTGTTTCTGCGTCTGTGGAATTGGTACCAATTATTTTCTTGCAAATATGCAGGATGTCCAAGCAGCCGTGCAGTTAGATTGCGCTAGGACAGGGAAGGACTCGTCTTAGTTGCGATCGGGTGCAGGATGCTACTCTCTAGAGTATGGTCTTTAAACGAAGCAATTTCCTTACTTTCCTTGTTGGATGTTGTGCTACAAACATTACAGAAACGGCATGATATTGTATTGTCACACTTGCTAGAAATGTATTGTAGAACAGGTTGACAACGTAATGTTGAGATGTTTATGTTTTGAGTTTAAGTATTAAATAGGCAATCATAGAAATGCAGAGATCTGCACCGTCTGCTGTATCCGAAAAAGAAAGGGGATAAGAAGAAGGTGGGTAATGTTCTTGGGGAGAAGCAAAGGTGGTGGTCCTTCCTTGCCAATTTGAAGCTGTATCTGGGCAGGCAAGGCAGGTGATGTGAAGTAGAGCAATTATTTTGGGTCGTAATGCTGGCAAGAAAACGAAACAAAAAATGTGGCGTCTCTTTGGAGATAAATATCAATTGAAGTTGGTTCATGTGCCCGAGTTTATGTTTTTCGTTTTGTCCAAAAAGAGAAGAAAAAAAGAACCCTCATCTCAGGAACCCATTTAGTAGAGATTACAGCAACCCCAAATATGACTAAATTGAGATTGTCTTTAAATGATTAATCAGCAAATAATATTGAAAAAAAAAAAAACTAGAAATTGTTTTTATTTTCTACAATTGTAGAATTCGTGGATAATTTGGTAAAAATCTAAAACTTATTTTTGCACATATTTCTATCTTTCATCATTTAAAGATGCAACAAGAAGTCTAAAGAAAAAGCAACAGCAACAGCTATAAAGCTCCTAGGTTCATATACGAGTCAAATGAATATAACATGGTTTACCCAAAAAAAGAAGAAGAAGTTATTTACTTTATATGTAAAAAGGAATTCTTAGATTTAATATTCTAAAGAATTATATATACAAAGCAATACAATAAACTCTTCCCAATTTCTATAAATTAAAAAAAAAAAAAAAAAAAAAA